ACCATTTTGTTCAAGTTGACATTTTTTCTTTTTATGAATGTATTAATTCCTTTTGGGTGTGGCCTCTTAGGAGCTACATGTTGCAACAAACTGTATCCTGGTTGGTAACAATCACTTGGTTTAGAAAAATAGCACATTTTCCCCTTCACAGGAATATTTAATTTATTCTGTAAAGAAGAAAGGAGGTTTGATGTTATGCATCAAACATGAACAAAGTTGTGGTTTTACCATGTCAACACTGTGGTCTGGGTTTTTAGAGGAAGAAAAATGTTACTCAATGAAGAATCCAAGAAATGAAAACATGAAGGCTTTCAGATTCCATTTGCCAGAGTTAATCAGGGGAAGTCACGATTCCCATCTTCACTGCTGTCCCGAGGTTAGCCTGTGCTTTCCCACAGTGGATGAAAGCTGGCTCCGCTCCAGGTCTCTGGCCTGGCCACTCGAGACTGATCTAGTGTGAGCCACCTTGTCTTCTAAAGGTTATCTGGCAGCTGGCTGTAACTTCTCACTTGAAGATTGCACAGGTGTGAAGATTGTACAATTAAAGTTGGACAAATTATCTTTTTCCTTCAAAAAGAATAAGGTAAATTCTATATGGCAAGTATCACTGAGTTAGGCCTTCCACTGGCCTGTGACTTTTCAGCACTGGTCTATATGCCCAAATTCGCACCCCAGGACAAATAGCTGGCCTGAAGGTCTGGTTCTCCAGGCTACAATGGGGTCCCATGCTAAGGCTCATTCTCTGCACCCTGCTTTTTTCTTTCACTAATGTGTCAATTTCTTTTGGATGTGATTGACCACTGGAGTTAATATGTACAAACTACACCTTGGATAGAATAGGTTATCTGTGTCCCAGTACCCCCAAACTTTACATCCAGAGAGCGGGCGGTTCACCTGGGTTATTTGACACATCTTGAGAACACAACAGACTGGCTAAAACATACATTTAAATATACTGAGCAGGAGCCAGTGCCAAGAGGCTGAGGATCAGGATCCACTAGTGCACAGAGACCAGTGCCCTGAGCACCTTCCTGTGTGCATATGCATCTCTGTGTGGTCTAAGGAAGAATGCTTTGCACTAGTTGGGGAAAGTAGCTAACTGCAAGGCCAGAGGCCACTCGGTGCGTTTATGTGGCAGGATCAGTCTACCTCAAAAAGTAGATTTGTGCCCTGGGGTGGCATACACAGAAAGGCAGTCTGCCCTTCCCCTGGGTACTTTTTTTTTTCAGACTCAAGTGTACAGGAATGGACTGGAGGTCCGTTCCTTACAAGTTATTTCTCTGCTCCACTGAGCACTCTGCCTCCCCCAGAACCCTGTCACATACCCCAGTCCCATCTGACCACTCAAAACACAGTCCTTAATTACCAACCTTAGAATCTCCTGAACCCACTCCAGATCTTTGAAATCTGCATCTCTGGGGGCAGGGCTTTTGTGGGGACCAGCTTTTTGGCAAATCAAGGTTTGTACATCCCATCGTTCTTCTCAGCGTCAGGGCCCAGGAGCAGTTGTGCATATGTCCACAGTGTCCAGTTGCTCAAAAGAGCTACTGTCACCCCAGCAACACTGAACGTCGCTGCTCTTTGCAAGCAGACCCGCCAGGGTTTCCGCTCTGTTCTCCAGCATGGAGGGAGTGTCGGTGTCTGACAGCCCACGCAGTCTTGTGCTCCGCTGGGTGCTGAGGTCAGCACGGGGCTGCCACATCGGCCAGCTTCTCTTGAAAGATGACTGTGGATGGCAGCCCGAGCTCTGCTTGTCCTTTTATAGGAAGAGTAGTCCCAGTGGCTGAGTGTTTTCTGGAAGCAGTTTTCCTGCTTCTTGCACCTGCCTTCTGCGCGTACTTTGGCAGCAGACCCCATGCGGTCAGACTTCTGCACCTAGCACCTGGTCACTTCCCTGAAGACAGCAGTTGAGTCTGACCACTGCCTTCCCTGTGTCCACATGGGTGCCGAGCTGCCTCACTTTACCCAGGAAGGATTGGGGGCTGGGGAGTCACACTTCAGCTTTAAGTGCCGCTTAAAATATAGTGAGGCTACTTCTCCATGGAAACAAGTCTCTAAAGCACACCCTTTCCAGAAACAAAGATGCTTTTGGTGCTGAGAACAGCAGTGTGTCTTCTTTCTGTGCATCGCTAGCCTCACTTGTGTGTTGGTGACTTCAGATTTGTCCTGTCAGTTCCCCCTGTGAGGGACTGCTGCTGCTGAATGCTTCCTCGGCAGCACCCCAGGTGCTGGGCCTCTTCCTCTGTCCTGTCCCTGCTGTAAATCACAGCCGGGCACTTCCTTCTCTTTAGTCATGTATCCATGGAGCTGTTTTCATGCCAATCCCCTGATTTTAAAATAAATACTTTTCTTCATATTTTCATAAAGATCTTTCTTTCATACCCCCTCCTTCCAAAAACTAAAACCATCACATTTTAAAAGGAAGGTGGGCAAATACCTTGTGTATGTGGACCACTTTTTTTTCCTTATTGGCACATTCCTCCTTACTCCAGACTGTGAGTTCTGACTTTGAAAGTGAGGGCAACTTCCTGGCCTCTGTGATAATACTCTCCCAAGTCGGCCTGAAAGTCCAGCAGTCACTGCTCTTCCCTTCCTGCCTAAGGCAGTGTTTCCCACTGCTTATTGTACTTTATGTCTTTTTTTTTTTTTTTTAGATTTATTTATTTGTGCATACAGAACGGGGGTACAGGCCAGAGGCTCAAGGGTGGCGAGAGGCTTCACCAGAGACAGAGTGGGGAGCAGAACAGACAGATAGATGAAGTACACTGCTGAGGGGAGCAGCGGGCAGGTCAGGAGAGGTCTGCTGCGCCATGTGGTCACCTCCGGGGAGGCGGGGATTGAACTCATGAGGAAGTGGCTTTAGCTTCTCAGTGCAGTGCTTTAACCCGCTGCGCCACCAGGGAGGGCCCACTTTATGTCTTTTTTTAAAAGATATATTTATGCACACAAGAACTGGGTATAGGCCAGAGGTGCGGTGGGCGAGAAGATTCACCAGAGACAGAGTGGGGAGCAGAACAGGCAGATCTACTGAAATACACTGCTGAGGGGAGCAGAGGGCGGGTCAGGAGAGGTCTGCTGCGCCAGTGGGTCACATCCCTGGATCAAACTGGTACACACATGCTGAAGTGGCTGCAGATTGCTTCATAGTGCTGCGCTTTAACCTGTTATGCTACCAGGGAGGGCTTGTTTGTTGTACTTTCTCTCTGCCATCTTCTCTCTCTGGCCTGGTCCTTGTCTTGGTTATTTTTTTTTTTAAAACCAAACAGCTATTCTTTGACAGGTCAGATTAAAGCCAGGAGCAGGTAGATCAGTGGATGATGTTAGGCCGTGTGCTTTTTAGAGAATCCAAGCTACTCCTTCACCTTTATGATTTCTTTTCACTGAGATCAAAGTCTGTTATTCTATAACTGGTGAGAAGACTGGAAATTCAGTTCCCGCAGAGAAGGACTTAGTGACACTCATTCACACTAACATGCAAAATAGCCTGTCAGCAGCTTTAATGTTGAGGGAGAAAAGGGAATGGAACTTCCAGAAGCTCAAGGAGAAAGGACTCAGGTGAGAAACTGTGCAGGCCCCAGAAGGTAGGTGCTCTGAGGGCTATCATGAGCCCTCTGAGAGGGATAGAATTCAGTTACAGCAGGGAGATCAGGGGGCATGGGTTCCCGGGCCCAGCCTTGGAAGACTCATACCTGAAAACGAAGCCGATGTGAGTAGGAACTAGAAAAGGGAAAGTAAATGGGGAGACATTTTACAAACTTAAAAATCACTGCCCTCAGGAGAGACTAGGCCAGCCACAGAGGGGTGGCCTTTGGCACTGATGGCAACGTGAGCAGCACTCCCACCAGAAGCTCAGGAGTGAGAGTTTTTGGGAGCTGACCATGGGCTCAGAATGCTGCTTGCCCCAGGATCTCAGTAACCCTATGGAAGAGTTCTGGAAGGCAAGCTGGTAGCCATGATGCCTGGGGAGCCTGTCAGAAGAACCGCATTTGGAAGATGAGCTGAGGCATCTTGTCAAGAAATCCCCTAGAAATGTCTTGAAAACAGTAAGACCCAGAGACCTGAAAAGAGCAACTAAACAAAATTTCAGCTCTGAAATACCATTTTATTTGTGATGATTCCATGAGTCTCCAAGAAGGGACTGAGACTTGAGCATTTATTTGGAAATGAGGCTTCTGAGCCAATCTGATATAGATGAAAAATGAGGTTTTACTACTGTTTATTGAATCCGGGTGAATTAGTCCTTAATGTTGAAAATATTTCACTTGCTAATTAACTTTCCTGGGGAGCAGAACAAATGTTATGAAGAATTTAGGGACAAGGAAATCTCATATTGATTTGCTTCATCAGTTAACCCCAATTCCCATGGCATAATCAGCCCCACTATTTGGAGTCATTGATTTTTCAAGCCAGAGTAAAATAGGAAAAATGAGGTCCTAATGTAGTTCAGCTTCCTTTAGGAGCCTGGTATCTTGTAAATACTTCTTAATTATCCTCCAGATGGGCCCCACATCCCCAAATGCAGCTGATTCCTTGCTTATTGACTTCTCCATCCTTGAGCAGTATGGCTTAAGTGGGAAGTGTCAGAGGTGACATCTAGGGATTAGGATTTTTCCCTTTATGTAATAGGTCCTTGGCAGAGTAATTGTACCCAGAACTCTCTTCCAGCCTCTGCAGACTCTAGCTCACATGCTGTGGGAGACCTCTCCCCATAGCTTATCAAACCTGTTACAGTACATCAAGCTCATTATGTAAGTAGGAATAGGCTAATTGACTTGATGCTGTGTTCTGTAGATAATTATTTTATTTTATTTTTAAAAGATTTTATTTATTTATGCATACAGAACTGGGATACAGGCCAGAGGTGCCGGGGATGGCGAAAGGATACACCAGACACAGTGGG